AGAAATGAAATAGTTGGGAAACTATACTTTTTTTTGGGATAAATGGAGACAATACTTAAAGATATTATAGTTTGAGTTTATGTAATTTATCTACAAGTTAAGCTAGTGAGAGTTTAGAGAACCTTGTAAATGTCCTAGCTTGGGAAGGAGAATAGGCTATCTTTTAGTAGGTTGTACTTTTGTAAGCTCTATATTCTTGTGTAATATTGAAAAAGTTAGTGAAATTATTGCATGCTTCACTTCATAAAGTTATGCTCAACTCTGAAGGGATGTTTCAAATGGACTAAATCAAATAAATTAAAGACTACCGTAGATAAAACGAATTTTGGCCCAACTATCACAATAGTCCAATTTGTTTTTGTTTAGACAGGCCTTTGGTAGTGTACAACTAATGCCTATTCACCACACTATTCGGTTTGGGGTCGAGATGGGGTCGTGACGGTTAGGTCTTGACTTCCAAAAAAGTTTGTCATGGTTATGGAATAGAACTCTCATCTAGAAAATTCCTAAATTTGTAGCAAATGTAATGTTATTACCATAAATCCTAGAGCTATTATCCATTAAACAATTGGTTTCATTAGAAGCATAATGGCCAGGCAGGTAAAACAACATACAAATAAATTTATGTATATCCAAGTATAAATAAATAAAAAAATGTAACCATTGAGAATTAGGAATCCATGTTATCAAAGATTTCATGTGATTGTTCTAGTATGGAATGCGTCATGAAAGATGATGATACTTACATTAGCTTTAATTTGATTAATGACCTTTAATTTCATGGCATCGATTGTACCATCATTCATCAAAGACTTTAAAACATCTTTTTCGAGTAATTATTGATGAAGATTCCATTTTGCCACACCCAAAATTAAAAAAATTAAATAAATAACTTGTTTGTGATATTTCATATCACTCTTCAGCTACAATGTCACCTCTTCAATGTTAGGGTTTTTCAACTTTAAAAAAAGAAAAAGAAAAAAGAGAGAGATCAGAATTTTAGCATAAAAATCAAAGAATGACAAAATTATCTTCTTACTGTTCGTCAATGGTAATCAACTTTCCAACGTAGCAAATTTGCATGTAAATACGATGACTTTGCTTTAATTACAGTAAGAATAATCAAATAGGACTCTTAAATTAGAGTCAGTGCGTTAGGGTTTCCAAGGCAACGATACAAAGAAAGACTAATGTCTGAGTTTGTTTGACTTTGCTTTAATTCGATTTTCTTGACTTTTGATTTTTGTTTTTGTTTTTATTTTGCAAAATAAAACTGTTCCCATATTTATAAGGGTAAATAAATTACACCGACTTCCCTGAGGCTTGGAATATATAGTAAGTCTTATAATTGTGATATAATCAAATTAATTTTTTTTAGTAAGATTAAATGGACTGAAACTAATTCAGATGGTGCAAAAATACAAAAATAAATAACACAAAGTATACATTTTTATGAAAAATAGATGACAACATCGTTTTTTTTTTCATCCATATAATTAACAAATTATTGATGAAAATGGAGTTATATGTTATATGAATTAAAATTTCAAGATAGTTCAATGTAATTGTGTCAAAATTATTGGGTTTACTATTGACATAGATAGGCCCATAAGGCTTACAGCCCCACAGCAAACAACCCCAAACCCATCGCTTGGGACCCATAGCATAACTCGGCTGGCAAAGCCCAGGACAGCTGGAGGCCATCTGGGCATGGAGGGCCAATGACATTCGGGCACATGGCAGGAGAAACACAGGCCACATTAGCAGACAAAGATCTGCAAAGTTATTACCACAACACATCACCATTAATGCAATCCATCACAGCATTTATTACGACAACACCTCCCCGTCGGAACAGAGCCCCCTCACTCTGAACAAGGTAAGCTACGGTACAGGCTTTCTGCGGAGGGGGGCACGTCGTAAGGGACAGTGAAATGATTACCAAAGGATATAAGCAAGAATCGAAGACAAGAGGAAGGTTAAGCTTTTCTATCTCTCTCTCTCTCTATATATATTTCCTTCTTCCTCTACTGATTTGCTCGCCGGAGGGTTCACTGGGGGACTACCCCGTTCTCTTTTGGACTGGCTTACAGGTCATCTGGTGGAGTCATCCGCCTGGATCGGAACTTGAAGAGCTTGGACCAGCCCGACCCATCCACCCAGGACGAACTGCATCATCAACTATATTTTTTTTAAATCTTAAGGAGGGTCAGTGTAATTTACTGTATTTATAAACCATAAAAATTGTCAGGAAAGTTAGTGTGCAATGTATATGAAAATTTGTTGTGTTGTGGACCATACCTAAAATGAATACCATCCATATAATTTGAATTGTAGATACATTTTTGAAGTTTTATTTTATTTATGGATTTGTGGTGTTTTTTTATTTTTAGGTATGGATAATGCTATACAAAGAGATTTTTTGTATACAAATTTTACACTGAATGATATGGCACTTTATGGTTGGGTAATTCTATTTGCACACTAAAAAAATTCTTGGGGCATTCTATTTGCACACTACAAAAAATCTTAGAACACACTATATTTATGTCATTCGGATATGAATTTCTGAACAAAAGTCAAATATTCGGATATAAATTTATCAACAAAAAATAATTGTTTAGATATAAGTGAATAGTTGAACGAACTCTTATTTGATGGAAAGGTTATTGATATCCAATCAACTTGATTTTTAACAGGTATGTTATACTCAGTATACCTGAAAAAAATGAACGATTTTGGTTATCAAATTAGGATCCGAAGTGGGCTTCAACGGCCGCACAACAATAGCCACCCAGATTCCAACATTTGAACAAGAGAGCCTAGTTGAGGCGTTGGAACTCACCGTACCGATCCAAACCATTCAACTTCCAATCCCTCCATGTAGATCATTAATACAAAAAAAAGGAAAAAAAAGAAGAAGATTAAACATTAATAACCACATGTTTGGATCACATATTTTAAAGAAGTTAAGTCGTTTTTCCAGAAATTCCTATTCCTAAATATTTATTTAACCCATATTCTTTTATAATATTCTGTTTTGGATAATGTGACCAAATCACCCTTTTAAATTTTTTTGTGCATATTTTCATTTTGAAATCAATACATAATAAAAAATAACAATAGTCTCTCGTTTCATAGAGAAAAACTCTCTATTATTTTAGGGCTCATTTGGGAATTGGATTAATTACACTTTTCATTCCTATCATTTGACTCAAATTTTTCTTTAGTTATTATAATTTCAATTTGAATAATTTAGTCCATATACTTTTCAATTCGATCATTCTGTATAAAGTGAAAGTTAAAATTAACAATTTTAAGCTACTTGTCAGTTTTTAAAGATTTTAATTTGATTTTTATGTCTAAATTGAAGGTTAAAATTAATAAATTTGAAACAGTTGTCAATTTTCTAAAGTGTACATGTAAAAAATATTAACAAAAATTTAAAAAGAATAATCAAATTAAAATTAGATTTAAAAGTGTAAATATCAAATTATTAAAATTGAAACTATATGGTCTAAAGTAAAATTTAAATTAAATTATATAGGTTAAAAGTAGGGCTGGACATTAAGTTATCCGAACGACTCAACCCGCATACAAGTGGGCGGTTTCACAGAGGCAATACAGGTAGATACGATTTAGAATATGACATTTTTGCAGGTTACGGGCAGGCTATGGGTAACCCACACTTGCAAGGATTTGCCCGCACTTTTTTATTTTATTTTATATAATTTTAACCGTTGATTTCATTTTTATATAACTATATATATATATATATTTTTAATCTTAACCATTGATTTAATTTCTAGGCCCTGTTTGTTTTGGGGTATAGAGGGAGGAATGAGATTAGGATAGAAGTGAGACCCATTTAGGCTTTGTTTGTCATAACCTAAAAAAGTCAAAAAGTCAAAAAATCATTATTCTATTTAAGTCACATCATCTTATTTAAATCACATCACCTTGCTACCACATCACTTCAAATTCAACCCATATCCAACTCATATTTCATAAAAAGTAAAAAAATACACTTATTTAAATCATTCCAAACCACCCTTTAATGTTGTGGCCTCGTTTGTTTTCAGAGGTAGAATGGAGGGGATTGATAGTGAGAGGATTAAGTAAAATTGTGTTTGTTTTAATGATAGTTATTAGTGTAGGGATTGTTAAATTATTTTTATATAAAATAATAAAATAAATAAAAAAATACAAAAACATTAAACGTTAATGTTTTAAAAAAAATGCTCAACATGTAAAAAAATTTTAAAAAATAAAAATAAAATAAAAAATTTCCAAAAAAAAATAAAACAAATAAAATAATGATTTTTACTTAATAAAAAATACAAAAAAATTAAACATTAATGTTAAAAAAAAATGCCCGACATGTAAAAAATAAAATAAAAATAAATTTTTTTTAGTCCGCCGGGCTATTTTTCTAATACCAAGTCTTGTAGGCCTATCCGAATCTCCTTGGGGAGGCCCATCCTAATCCGGAGCTCACTATCAATCCCCTCCCCATCTCTCAAAACAAACACAATATTAGTGGGTCTCACCTCACTACCAATCCTAATTCTCCCTTTAACTCTCCAAACAAACGGGGCCTGTGTTTGTTTGTAGATTTCCGAAAGGGATTGAGATGAATGAAGGGATTAAGTTGGGCCTTAAAAAGGGATTTGAGATGGAAGAGGTAGATGTGGTATTAAAAAAACAGTCCCAAGGACTAGAAATTTATTATTTTTTTACATATTGGGCATTTTTTTGAATATTAATGTTTAATTTTTTTATATCTTTATTAAGTAAAAATTATTATTTTATTTGTTTTATTTTTTTTGAAATTTTTTAATTTTTTGAAATTTTTACATATTGAATTTTTTTTTAAAAAAATTATTGTTTAATATTTTTTTATTTATTTTATATGAAAATAATTTAATAATTCCCACGTACACAAATAACTATCGTAAAAATAAAAACAAACAAATTTTCTCGCTATTCAATCCCCTCCCATCTATACGAAATCCCTCCGTTCTACTATGAAAACGGGACTGTAGCCCAAAACAAAACACCAAACCCTAATCTCTCGACTCAACATCTGCTGCGCAGCCTCTCTTCTCTCTCTCTCTCTCTCTCTCTCTGTGGTGAGTCGACTGATCGGTGACCTTCTCCGGCAATTTCGACCTTCGACCTTCTCTCTCTCTCTCTCTCTCTCTCTCTCTCGGTGAGTTTGAGTTTGGACTTGGGTGCGGACCAAGTAAAATTTTGTCCTTATTATATTCAGTTCAATAGAAACCCATGCTTGAACCAGTTTCTTGGACTTAGTAGAGACTTCTGAATTGATTTAGTTTTTGTGTGTGGGTTGCAACCTCTTGGTGCCTTACGCTATTATACTCATCCAAAAATAAAAAAAATAAAAATCAGATGAATCATCTGATTCCATTGTGCAACTTTTCTTAAACTTTTTAGTTCTTATCAGAGGTAATAGCTGGTAGTATTCTCTCTGCAAACCTGTTGTTTAAATGTTCATATGTGCAACATATCTTAATTCTTAAACCTGTTGTGTTTCCCTCTAGCCATTTCCCCAACCTTGAATGTTTTATGCTAAGAAATATGTATAATAATGTCAATTGAAGGTTGTGCTATGGGTGTAGGTACAATAATGCTTATAATGGAGAGTTATTGTTCGTATTTCAGATAGTTCTGTAGACTGGTATTACCAAAATCTGTTTGTGGAGGGGAAATTGAATCCGTTAATTATTTTTTTATATTATATTTATCATCAAATGTTTTTATTTTATTTAATGGGTTTGAATTGGATGAATTTTCAAAACAATTATTTTATTTTATTATTGCATTTTGGATGAATGTAAAAGTTAATAAAGAATTACTTTTAGGTAAAGTTAGGATTTTGAATGATTTTATTTTATTGTATTGTTAGGTAGTAGATAGATAGTGAATGAGATTGATGGTCTAGTTTATGATTTTGAAATATGTGCTTGTATTAGTTTATGATTTGATTTAGGATTTTGAATGATTTGTTTGTGTTAGGTATTGATTTTGTTGTGTTTTTAATTTTATAAGAGTTAATTTATTAATTATTAATGATGGAGCATTTAGAAAATGGGAGGAAAAAGGCCAAAAATAAATATTTACAAAATGAGAAAAAAGGCTCAAAAATAATTTTTTAAAGAAAAAAGTCCGATCTACAAACCACCCGCACATTCATGAATCCCATCCGCACAAATGGCAAATCACACTACGAGTGATTGCAAGTTAACTTTTTTCCAAACCACGTACATGCGGATGGATTTTTTTTTTCACAACTGAACGGTGGACACACCTGGTTAAAAGTGTTATTAATCTGAACTTATAAGTTATTATTTATATTTATGTAACAGCAACAGGGTATTCAAAAAAAAAAAAAAACCCTAATTTCATCTCACCTCACCTTCTCAAGGACTTCTCTAACCGTAACCAGGGTTCGACAATGGCGGGAGGAAAGATAAGGAAGGAGAAGCACCACCGCGGTGGCGGCGCATCAGCAAATCCACACTACCAAGGAGGCATACCATTCCACAAGTCCAAGGGACAACACATCCTGAAAAACCCTCTGCTAATCGACACAATCATCGAAAAGTCTGGAATCAAGGCCACCGACATCATTCTCGAGATCGGTCCCGGTACCGGAAATCTTACAAAGAAGCTTCTAGAAGCTGGCAAGTCCGTCGTCGCCGTCGAGCTTGATCCCCGCATGGTCCTCGAGCTTCAGCGTCGTTTCCAAGGCACCCCTTTCTCCAATCGCCTAAAGGTAATTTCAAAGCTTTATTTATTTATTTTTTATATGTATATATATATATATATATATATTTTGTGTTGTATCTATTATGTATTACCTTTGACAACACACTATGCAATCTCAAAAATAGTAATGCTAAAATAATCATATTTATTTTTCATATTTTTCATATTTTACTTACTGTTTTATGTATTTATAATAATAGTTGATAACTTATATGAGTCATGTAACTCATTCAACTAATAAAATTTTATAACATGATAGGGTAAATAAAAGATTATATATAAATATGGTCATGTAACTCATTGAACTAGTGAAATTTTGGAATATGAGAGGGTAAATAAAACATAATCTATAAATGTAGTCATTATACTATTATTTGAACATATTTTTATTTATCATGTTTCGTCTAACTCTTATATGTTTTTCGTGGTAGATATTTGATATGAATGATGTGACTCATTAAACCAATGAAATTTTAACACATGAAACAATAAACAAAACATGATATGTAAGTGTGATCATTGTACCTTTATTTTAAAAAAGATAATATTATGATTACCATCTCATATGTTAATATATATTGGTTTAATATTTCACCTGGTTACCAAAATATGAAACATTGCATATGATGAAGGCAATCGACTAACAATAACAATCAATAATGATAATGAAAATGATCAGATGATGATGGAGATTATCGACATAAATAATTGATATCACTGAATCTAAATGAAAAGAATTAATGATGAATTTGTTCTTTGACACAATTTTCTTGTGTGCCTACATGTTTGATACATTTCATGATGATTTTATTTTATTTCTTTTGATGAAAGTTGAGTGTGTGTGATATGTGTTATGTTAGTTTGAGATATACGAATATACGATGTGTACCTTTAAATTAAAATAATGTTACGAGTTTAATATAAATGTTACGGATTATTTTAGCGAGTAGAGTTATGACTTGGGGTGATGTTTGTTACAAAATGTCATAATTACGTTATGTATGTTATGATAGAATAGAATATATATTTGTTTGGATAACTCAGTATCCGGTTCATTGGACTAATTAATTTGGGGGACTAGTTTCACCAGTGGCCTGGGGTGGGGGTGGGGGTGAAACTAATATTTGGGATGTGTGGTCACAATTAAAGTTAGGGTAAAAGCCTCGTATAGATTGATCCTATGTAATTGTTTTTTCCACCTAAGAGGTTTCAAATTTGAGATGTTGAAATGAGCATACGATATTCACATTTTTTTTTTAAATGCATACCATAAACAACTCCCTTTTAGATTTACCTATAATTCTTCATATGCTTAGTTACATTTTCTTCACGAGTTACATTTTCTTCTCACAATGCTCTTGATGGGTCTAGATAAAGTAAATGTCTATTAGTATCCTATAATGTAAAGTGACATTATTAATGTCAAAGTCGATGATGGAGGGGCGGGCATTGGAAGAAGGAGATATATGTGTAGTGATTAACGATGATTGAAATGATCAGTGTTTTAAAAGGCTGGAGGCGCACCGAGGCGATAAGGTCTCCTATAGCCTAAACGCGAGGCGCGAGGCGAGGCGAGGCGCGCGCCTCATCAAAGCGAAGCTCAAGTAGTAGAAGAAAAACAAAATTATAAAATAGGCAAAATTTTCAACATAACAAATATATATATATATATATATATATAATATTTAAAAAATCATAACCATTTTCGATAATCTCTAAACATAACATTCAATTTTCTAAAAATTAAAAATATAATATCCAACAAAAGATATAAAGTATAACATTCAATCTTTTATCACTTTTTGCTCTCTTTTGACTACATTTGGTCATTTTATATTGAATAGTTTTGAATCCCTGTGGGTATGTCTACAAAAAAAGCACTTAATCAACAATTAGAGTAGAAAAATGGGTAAAGCCCATGAAGCCCATGAAGCCCATGCCTTGCACCTCGAAAAAAAGCTCTCGCCTCAGCACCTAAGCTGCGCCTCGCCTCGATCTGTTCGAAGCGCAAGGTTGCGCCTCATTGCACCTCGCGCTTAGGCTCGCGCCTAAGCGCGCCTTTTAAAACACTGGAAATGATAATGAAAATCATGAGTGATAGGGACCTATGCTACTAGAAAACGCTAATACCCTAACGAATTACGTATAGATATGCACGTTCCAAAATATGTTACACTTCCGTTCTAAAACGGTAAATTTAGTGATCCAAAGTGATCCCAAAAGTTTTTCCCAAAATATATCCTTAAATGTTACCGTAAGAGAAAAAAAAAATCAAATATAATGAACTAAAATCTAAGGTGATTTAAATTTTGACATGACAAAAATATCAAAATTTTTAAAAGAAAATGTATTAGATGTCTAGAGATATCTTAAATTCTCAAATGTAACATAGACAAGTGTACCCCTATCGTACACCATTTTAGAGCATGTAGCGTACCACTTTTTCATTCCCATTCCACGTACCGGAACGATCCACGTTCCAGGTAACATAGATAGGGACAATTGCCAACGATAATTGACATCACCAGTCTAACTATACAAATTGAAAAATAAAATAAAATAACTCATGATAAAGCATGTGACTTAATTTATCACGAAATTATTATTATCCAACAATTAAATATAAAGGAACGCAATAGAGATGTATAATTTCTTCTCTATTGTTTTTTTTTTGATTATGAAACAAGCTATTTGGTGGGTATTTTTTTTTTTTTTTTTTTTTTTTTGGGTGTGTTATTTCGTGAAATATCCCACGCATAGCGTGGGAAACCGGCAAGTATTTATAAATGCATATAAGAATCATGGTTTGCGTAATTGTTAATTGAGCTAAAAGAGTCACTGATAGTTATAGTTTGCTTTGAAAAATGTTAAATTTGATTTGGAAATTAAAATTATAATATGAATTTTAAGTCATGTTTGTTTGTTTATGAATCATGCTGGATTGATTGGGTTGTCATCTCCTTCTGAGCTTTCATAATGCTTTATTAATGTTACGTTTTTACCCGAAAATGCTAGTAGTCTAGCAATTTATGTTTTGGATGCAAGTTCCCAAACATGGTATACTATTGTTCCAAAATGGCTAATTTAGTGATCCAAAATGATCCCAACTTTTTTCCTATGTATTTTCTATGAAAGACTTCTTTGGAGGGGGGAAATTAAATATAATGAACAAAAGCTACAGATAGTGGAGTTTAGCAGGGAAAAATGTGAAAAAAAGGGGCCATAATGATTCTAGATTTATATTGTTGTATGATTAATTTGAAGAATAATATATTATATTTTATAAGATGTCCATTTCCTAAAATAAAATTACAGTCACATTTAAAAGAACTTTGAATTCTAAAATTGTTCCATGTTACCATTCTTGTTTCTTGTACCAGAATGATCTGCATTCCAAGTGACATAGTTCTCTTCACATATTCTCGTATGCTTGTATAGTTTTATTGCTTCGTCCTAGTGCACTTTTTGAAAGTGGGAGATGTTTTTGAATATAAATTTGATTCTCTGGAAATGATTGTGTTGCAGGTTATCCAAGGAGATGTGCTTAAGTGTGATCTTCCATACTTCGATATATGTGTGGCAAACATCCCTTATCAAATTTCCTCTCCACTCACTTTCAAATTGTTGTCCCATCGACCATTATTCAGGTGTGCAGTGATAATGTTCCAGAGGGAATTTGCCATGAGACTTGTTGCTCAGCCTGGTGACACTCTGTACTGTCGCTTATCTGTGAACACCCAACTCTTGGCTCGTGTTTCCCATTTATTGAAAGTTGGAAAGAACAACTTCCGGCCTCCACCAAAGGTTGATTCTTCTGTAGTGAGAATCGAGCCTAGAAAACCACAGACTTCAGTGAATTTTAAAGAGTGGGATGGTTTAGTCCGAATTTGCTTCAATAGAAAGAACAGGACCCTAGGTTCAATATTTAAACAGAAATCTGTCTTGTCATTATTGGAGAAGAACTATAAAACCTTGCAAGCATTACAACTCTCACAGAATGGATCATCAGAGGATACAATGATAGCAATGGATGTATCCGCTTTAGGGGACACTGGTGAGGACCTGAGTGTGGAGATCGATGATGAAAGAGAAGATGAGGAGATGGAAGTTGAGGATGGGGACACGAAAGGCTCTGAATTTAAGGATAAGATTATGGATGTGTTGAGGCAAGGAGCTTTTGAAGAGAAGAGGTCCTCCAAGCTCACACAAGCAGACTTCATGCACCTGCTCTCTCTGTTTAACATGGCTGGAATACATTTCTCTTGATTGCAGGGCTAATAAATTACATTTTTGTTTTTTTGGCTAAGCGAGTTATATTTTTCGAGTAATTTATTCCAATTTTGTTTTGTTATGGGAGAGACATTAAGATGTAGGATTGGTACATGTCCAAAGAAACAAAAGATTAGGGTTGAAGCTTTTTTGAGTTTTTTTTGTTCGAGTTGGATAATTGTGTTAGTTTGTGCATGAGAGTTTCTTTCTTGTTATTCATATGTAATTTGATGTACTTCTTATGGAGCAAAAGCATCAATCTTCACATGTTTTCTCGGAGTATTTGGTATATTATTTTATGTTTCTCTTTTTTTATTTATTAGGAATCTATAGCGAAAGCAATTGAAGAAAAAATAAGTGGTGAGCAGCGCCGGTACTTGTTGAATGAGCAGCTTAAGGCCATAAAGAAGGTGCATGAAGCTTTGGCGTCATACTTCTTTATGCTACAATTTTTTTTTTTTTTTTTGGGGTTTATTTCTCCATGTTTAATTTTTCTTCTTGCATCTCCACAAGTGATAAATGAAATAATACTAAACAATATTTTCGCATGGAGTTTTTTGTTGTTTAGGTTGATGTTTGTTAAATTTTCTTATATCAAATAAGAGCCTTTTTGGAATGCAAATTCGTTTGCCTTGATGCAAGAACTGGGGTTGGAGACTGATGACAAAACAGCACTTTCTGGTTAGTTCCTTTCTAGTTTATTTGCATCAGAACTAGATGATTGCTGGATTCTCCTCTCTAGTGATTGACTTGGTACTTGCACGCCTTCTATCAACTTTTGGAATAGTGTATTCCCCAACAAACATTCGTAGACATTGATGGTCATGATGTTAATCAAATTGGATGATGTATTTGGGTTAGAAAAATTATTACTATAGCTCAGATGGTATGGATTTTCTTTCAATCCACGTACATACTTGCAAGATTTTGTAAGTTAGATCCATGAAATATAGTTGGCCATACTATTACATTGATGCCGAACATGGAAAAAAGAGGGACAGATCTAGAATTTCACATGAAGCATGCTTTGGATGTTTGATAGACTTTTCTAGTTTTAACTTGAGTTCTAAAAACACGGACACGAACACGAGCATAGGTACGGACAAGGAATACTGCAATTAAAAAAAAAATTCAAGTATTTTTATTTGCTATGCATATGAATATAATTTTAGGGTACCGAGATATGAAAGGCATTGATGTATTTGGATGTATTTTTATTTCCCCTCTTTTTCTTTTTACTTACCAAAAAAAAAAGCAATGAGAAAAACTGGTACGCTAGGTGGCATGCTTGTTTCTTGTCGGTGTCTTGTTGGTGTTTAACATGTGTTGGACACGGTACCTATTTTGGAGTGTCCATGCTTACTAGCTTGAGTCTTATTTGTATGGACTTTTTTGAGTTTGAATGTTGTTGGATTGATTTATGTTTTATTATGTTTTAAGAGTCCAGGATAGTTTGGTAATATTACTTACAAAAAAAGAGAGTTTGGTTAATAATTAGTTTTGCTGGATGTGGGTTTTAGAATGAGTCCATGGGTTGTATTATTGGTGAATATTGTTATTGGGTCTTATATATGATGTCTTTATTAGGTGTAGAATATTTTTAGTTAGTCAAAGTTTTTAGTTTATTAATTTTAGTCATAGTTCTTGTAGAATTAGGAGGTATATCAATCTGGGAAAATGGGTCAGTCACTTTAGTTATCTTAATAGTCATGGGTAGGATTAAAACATGATTTGGGTTTCGGGCTAAACAGGTTGGTTCAAATCATGGCTCACACCTGGGTATAAGGGCCGAATCAAATGAAAATCGGTTAGGTCACTTACTGGAAAAATTTTACTATAAAAAAAGTAATAATAGAGAGAGTCCACCAACCTATATATACTTGTATAATCTTGTTATTCATTAGAATTGAGAGTTTGAGAACTTGTGTGAAGCTTTTGAAACTTTATGTAATGCTTTGTTTAGACTTACCTTAGGGGTCAAATCTTAAAAAAAAAAAGACCTACCATAGGGGTAATTCTGATGGAAGTTTAGGTAGAATTTGTAGATTTTTGTCTTCTCTTAGTTAAAATTATTGTTGCTGGGGTACTGTCAGAGCCGTAAAAAGTCCCATTTTCAGACTCCAAAACATTATGTCTTGATTAACAATCAACCTTAATCTATTCCCATACTTTTGGCCCTTTTAATTACTAACACATAAAACATCCCAAAACAGCAGCTGTCCAGAGGATCCAGCAACCTGCCTTCTAGAAATGAATTCTAATTCTAGCCTTATTCCTCTCCAAAAATTGGATTCTTTCTTCATCTTAGAACCCTAAAACCTAACAAACTTTTCATAGCCAAAACCCACCACAAAATCAACTTGTATACTCAAAGCAAGTTTACCAAAGCTGTTCTACATCATGCATGCTTGCAATCTTGTGTTGTGGTGACTCAGGGTGACTGCGAGTATAAATCCAGCCTTCAGCTGGATAAATATGACATTTGAAAGATGAAACAAGCTGCTCGTGCTTCACCTGTTATAAGCCTGTTCAAACTAGGCTTCAAAATGAATCCCATTACTGAGAGAAGCTGAGCTCAATCATTTCCATCCTCAACTTGGCTGGTTCTGCAATTCTTATGAAGATGTTTATTAAATTCTTGCTCTGATTTTAATTTGTAATTGAAGGTATAATTACTTGAATAGAGACTTCTAGAAAGGAATGACTGAATTGTGTCTAACCCCAAGGTGTTGACGTAGTGGCAAGGCCTTCGGTCTTGAGGGTGTGCTCTCTCCAAGGTTTAGGGATCGAAACATCTTAGCTGCTAACAATTCTTTGGGGCCATCGGACTAGGGAAAAACCCTTGAGTTGTGTCCATCGGACTAGCCGCTAACAATAACTGTGGTTGCACTTATGAGAAACTCCTTGCCGAGGGCCTGTGCACCCCTGGGGATTAGTCGGGCTTTGATCTAGACACCCCGGTGCCAAGCCAAAAAAAAACAAAATATTGAGTTGTGTCCTGTCATATGATAAGTTCTTCAGACAAAAAATATTACACATTTTCTTTTGTTTAATTTTTGTGGAAAGAAATTTGGAGAAGTGTCCTTTGCTTGAAAGTGTCTTTATGCTAGGTCTTTGGCCAATAGAAACATGACAACACTCCCTGAAAACCACTATAATAGTTTTCTTTCTTTTTTTGTTTTTTCTTTCCAAAGTCACTTCATAATATAATACTATGTTTCTTTAATCCAATCATGAAATTGGGCAAAACTTGTAACTTGGATTTTTTTGTCAAGTGGAGCTTGATCACCTTTGCTGAATTTGGTTTGAGCTTGAGCCAGCTATAAAGATAGTGTGAGGTCAACTGATCTGTCCTCTATGACTTTTACCTTGGGTTGGCTTGTTTACACCACCCTTAATTGAATGTTGTATTTTGGACATGATGTAACTGCATATCGGCATTGATTTGGAATGATCCTCTTTTGTACCTCTGCTGCAGCGAAGTTTAGGGGAAAGAATTGAGCCAAATAAGGACAGATGCCCACCTCATGTATTGCAAGTTATAGAAGAACTGACCTGTATTGTTGCTGTGTAGCAGGGGTGCTATGTAGCAGAGTATTACATTGAATTAAGGTGAGAGTTGCACTGTGGATGAGTGGCTGAACTGAGGTTGCTCTGCTGCTGTTTTCCTTGTTATGCTCTGCTGATGTTTCCTTGCTCTGGCTTGATGAGTCTGCTCTGCTGCTGCTGCTGGTCCTGCTTTGTGATATGCTCTGCTGCTGGTCAACTGTGGACTGCTGGTATGCTCTGCTGAACTGATATGGTTTGCTAATATGTGTTGGTTTGCTATGCTCAGCTGTGGACTGTTCTGTTGAGGTGTTTTGTTCTGTTTCTTTGGTTGGTTGCTCACCAACCTAGTTGGGATGATTTAGTTCATCGTGATACTTTTGCATCTGCCTCTCTTTATTGATGTAACTTGTCTGTACCTTGTACTTTGCTCTTACATCTATAAAGTTCTTTCTTTTTGCTGATAATAATAATAATAATAAAAAAAAACCTGACACAACTTCAGCTGTTTGAGGCCAGTTTAAGTGAATTTAACGTGATACGTAATTATCTTGATTGGCTGACTGCATTGCCTTGGGGTAATTACAGATTTGTACATCTGTCTTTTTTCACCCATCTGTTTAATTTTCCGCTGGGAACCTTTTCTATTTGGCTAAACTGTCCTCACAAATTGGCAAACAGATTTATTTATTTCCACTATTTGACGCTGTCTTTGTAAATACTTTGGGATTTTAATTTGTTTCTATCACTGATTTTGGAAGCACTCATGTTTTCTTTTAAAATGTTTTTTTTTTGGTACATATTTTGGGAAACAAAAAATATGGGAACTCTTAATTGAATTTTGTATGTTAATGTTTGTTCTTCTGTCTTTGGAGTTCAATAGTCCGGGTTTGTACTCATATTACCTCATGCTGTTTAGATTCAATAATTCCCTGTTAAGTTGTACACAAAGTAAATAATATGCAGGCTGATGCAGCAGTAGTTATGGATTGTCATAGGTTCTTGCTCAGAATTGTGTATTTAGTTGGCTTTTCTTGTCAATACGTGCTTCATCCTTTAATGGACTACTGGTATAAAGTAATTTTCCTTGTACCAAAAATATAAAATAAAAGTAGTAGTAAGTTTACTTTTCTAATGAATTATAAAAACATAATTCTGCATTTTAATTTTGTGGACAAATAAATGGACTGGTACTTCTCATTAATTTTCCTTTTCCGAATGAATTATAAAAACATAATTCTGCATTTTAATTCTATGGACAAATAAGTGGATTGGCACTTGGCATTTTAGCCTTTGATTTCTGTTTTTGCATTTTTGATGGAGGCTTATTAATTTAGTGCAATTGCAGTCCAGTTTGGTACTAAAAAGTGGCACATTAAACACTTTAAGAGTTGCTGTTGAGTTCTTGTAGCTGCTACTACTATTTAGGGTTCGTTTGGAGAGGGTTGATTTTTTGGCTTTTTTGTTATTTTAGCCTGGGGCTAAAAAGTCTTATTTGGGAAGGGTTTCTTGGTTTTTTTGACTTTTTGTGAGAGACAAAATATAATGATTATGGGTTGGATGTGATATTTTGTCTTATTGAGCTAAAAAGTTTATTTTGTCTTTTTGTAGCTAAAATAGTCCCAACCCTACTTCCCAAACGAAGCCTTATACTGCTACGAGCAGCAGTAGTAGTTTGACAAGGTTCTTATACAAACTGTTTGGTTCATGGTATGTCAAATGGTCTATGTTACTCTTAAGTTC